GCTGCCCGAAAGATGGGAGAAAGTAGTGGCCAGCGATGGACAATACTTTGAATCATAAATGTATAACCAGTTTTTTACAACAAAGCCTCGAATTTCGGAAAAAAAACGACGGAAGTAAAGTTATATACCTAATATTTAATATTATATTATCTAGCATTTAATATCATATAATCTAGCATAATCTTAATATATAATGTAGCTAAATTCTATCTAAGTATATGCTTTCTTTAACTATATATTCTTTCATGATGATATATAACAGAAGATGACGTGGAACTTCATCTCCAAGTTTATAAATGCTTCATCTGAAGAAAGCATTAATACCTAAAGAGAATATCTTTTTTAAATATAATTTTTTTGATATAAAAAGAAAGAGAGAGAGAAGGAAAGAGGAGAAATATCAAAGTAAACTTTAGTAACATTATATTTCCATGTGTTGTTGCAAGCACATACTCAGATGGCATTTAGCTGTTGTATATTTAGTATTTAACAATGTAACTGTTTACATTGTCGAGTGGGAAGTTATAACTGTTTTGTTATTGTTACCTCGTGTTTGGCTGACATTTTTCAACAAATTTATTGTACATTTTTTTGTAGTACCTCTAATTAAAATAATTAAATATATTGAGTTGTAAATGTGGAGTTAAAAACACCACATTTCGTGCTACGTTTCTGCCGTATTTCTGCTGCTACGTTCAAACGACACGTCGCGATCGATTTCTGCCGCGTTTCTGCTGTCTCATAATGTAACTTAATTAGTTTGATTTCTAATGCCTTTCTGTTTGCATGATATGACATCGTTCTTTGTTCAATTTTATGCTGCTTCATGTCGAAAAATCATGTCTGCACTTAATATTTAAATTTTTCTCTTGCTCTGCTGACATATCATGCCTCATTTTTGTACAATTTTTACTATTATATCATGACGCAGATTCTATTAGATTTCTGTTACATTTGTACACGCATTATTTGACATAACAGATCATGCTTCGTTAATGCTAAAATTATGTTAGCATAATATGCAGCACACACTTAGCAAAACCTGACTTTTGCAGGCTTGGTTATCTGGGATGGTATATCGTCGGACGGCTTGGAGAGAGAGTAGTGATGGGAGTCGCGGCGATCTTCTATCCTCTATCGCAGACGTAAGAGGGATAGAGATAGTATTATGAGACGTGGCGACTAGAGCTGGGAAATCTTGCCCGAGCGCACTGGCGTTTTACTCCTCCCACTTCTTACACAGAGACGCTTCTGTCCGTCTGACTGCGCGCGCCGCGCAGAGTCACACAGACGGACAGAAGCGTCTCTGTGTGAGAAATGGAAGAAGTAAAACGCCAGTGCGTCCGGGCAAGATTTCCCAGCTCTGGTGGCAGCCAGAAATGCTGTCCTAAAATATGTGTGATGCACACTAAGAAAACGCTCGACTTACATTGTCTCGTCTATATGTGAGGAATACGCGGTGTCCCAATGACTGTTTTGCTCGCTCAAACGTTCATGCATTTTCTCTCGTTAGCAAGGAAATTACTATAATGTAAAAGAAGATCTTGGGGAAGGGTTTTCAGGAGGTTATGTAACATTAAAATTAAAAATATTCTACTTCGACAACCTATGCAAGCACTGTATTGTTGCAGTATTCTATATTGAACTATATTGACACAGTATTCTATGTTGAAATAGATCTAATATTTTTTTTTCAAGAGCAGCTATTAAGAAACACTTGTCGAAGCCTTCTGAAAATCTTTCCTCAAGATCTCCTTTTCCATTACAGTGATTTCCTTGCTAACAAGAAAAAATGCATGAATGTTCGAGCGAAAATAATCGGGACACCGCGTATTACTCACGTATAGACGAAACAGTGTAAGTCGAGCGTTTTCTACGTACGTCGCATGTATTTTAGAATAGCATTTTTGATCGCTACGTCTCATAATGCTATTTCGCTCTTACGTCTGCGATAGAGGATAGAAGATCGCCACGACTCCCACCGTTATTCCCTCTCCAAGCCGTCCGACGATCGTATACCACTAGCCCGCCACTCCGCCACTCCGTGCTGCTCATATCTCATTTACAGGCAGCAGAATGTGAGTTACGCGTCATCGTGTGCGAGTCGCATGGATATACGGACAGCATTAACGCCGGTGCGATACGTGCGCGCACGCATGTGTGCATTTGTGTGTGTGCGTGCGCCGACAGATTGGCTCTAGAATCGATCAGGATCCGTTACAGATACATTGAGAAAAAAATACTGTTCAATTAAAAAAAAGTGAGTTGTTTCAATTAAATGGTGTAATTGCGGGCTGCCACAAACATATTTAGTTCATTTAATAATATATGCTATTGATTTTAATTTCAAGTATGTATATTGAAAGAATTATATAGGG